CCGCCTGAAGGCCAAAAACGCTATTATATGACTCTCTCAATTTTAAGAATGAAATTTACAACCTGGGTATAAAAAGCATTTAGCCCGCACGTTAAGAATTGTTGTTATTTAACACTTCCAACTTGCATCGTTGAGTCTAGCTACCCATTTTGACTAGAAGCTGCTTCTAACCACTGTAAACCGTTTCCGAAATTAACGTAGCTTCATATCATCATATTTTACTCCAAAATCGTGCTCCGTGAGATTGTTTGCGCAAGGGCGATCCAAAATCCGGAAACGAAAACGGAAACGGAGGCAGAAGTGTAAAATGGAATGATGAAAGAGGTCGTTAAACTGTTGCCTTTCATAAAGAAAGAATAAAAAAAAATTAAATAAAAGCATCACAAAATGTCTCCAGCAGAGGACAATGATTATTTCACCCAGGAAATATTTTGTTGTATTTTAAATACCCTTTTCAAATCAAAGATTTGGGCAAAAATTGATGAACTGGTTCAAGAAAGAGACCACAGAAATATTTTTGTTCTTGTTCTTGTAAAACAAAACAAAAGACAATAACAGGGGAGCTGGGATTGATAGCCTCCTCCCTTCCCTGCCAAAAAAGGCAACCGAAAACAGGCATTAATTTTTCTTTCCTGTTTTAGTTTTTACGTTATAGATATATTTTTATTCTACTAAGTTATATTTGCATTTACATAATTGTACACCGTTTAATAAAATCACTCTAATTTGTAATTATCATAGATAGTCAATACCGTAGTTATTTAATGTTGGCAGTATTATTTCCTGCCTGATGTGTTTATCGTGTATAAATAATAAAGATGATGATGACGGACTTGGCATATCATCGTCGTGTCGAGAGATCCCGAAAATTGGTTATCTTTTGTACGCTGATGGCTCCGATATACATGACTTCTTTTGTCATGCGCAGAAGTCACAAAAACGACAGACCCCGTCTTTTCCACAGACGCCAGGACCACGTGTTTTCCATAGACCTTAGGACCCCGTCTCCCCGGCACCTCGTCCCCGCATTATCCACTAAAATTGTACAGCGGTCGCATTTAAAGGCACGAACTAGCTTTTTATATCCGTTTGCGATGTGTTTGTTGGATTTTTGATCTCGAAACAATGAATTATTTCTGTGTTTTGGGCGATAAAAGTGATGCACTTCGACTTGATGAAAAACAACATGGCGGCACTAAAAAATGAACGCGTAGTTCAAATCAATTTTATATTCCTTTCTGCCGTACTAACATAAGAAAGTTTTCCGTTCCAATCCAGTGTTAATTTTTTCTTCTATCTTGTTACTCAGGAATTCATAACTTAACTCAGTCTCAGTCTGTTTAGTTCCTATTTTTAACGTATCACACCACAACTGTCATTTTATTATACTTATTTCTTTGTGACTGGGGAACCCAGGCTTCATAAGCGCACTGGTTTCTTCTGGGCTCCCTCGCCAACTTGCAATTCCCATATTAATTCTTGTATTGTATTATATTTTGACTAAATAAAAATAAACTGAACTGAACTGAACGCCTTGCTAGAATTTGAAATCTCGACAACGAAATTATCTGAAGACTCGCTTTGTTTTCCTCAACAGCTTGCCATTATTGTGGTTCTGTCATGTCTCAAACGAAGAAACAAATTGAAACTTGAATACTGCCATGGTTATCCCGGGCTCTTGATGTAAGTACTACCTATTCTTTGCGCAGTTATGAGACGAAAGATTGTAAAATTTTGTCTTTTGTCTTTTTTTGTTTTCAGACCACTCAACTTTTTACACAGTTTTAGCTACAGCAGCAGGTTTACTATTGCTGCTACCTTTGGAGCCACGGCCAGTACTTGCTTAGGCCTTTTTCTTTTTCCTTCAGTTGGCGAATACGCCTCCTCGAGTGTTTCTGTTTGGTTAAAGGGTGAGAAAATGATATTATTCATTCAAAATATTTCCTACTTTACAACATACTTGTCTCGATCTATGTAAAGTTCCCGTCCTCATAATATTTGCCTTTTGCTCGGTAGTTTCAGGATACAAACAGAGTTTCATTCTCACAAATATTGTTCAGACAGCGTTTGTCATCCGTAAAGTGGTGTTTTTGCTATTCTTGCTATGTTTTTGTGCGATAGTTCGTATTTTTTGTTTTCGCATAACTTGTTACACCCTCCGCTACTTTCTCTAGCTCTGAACTGCCAAAGAAGCTGAGCGACCGCTCCACCGTCTGTCTCTTTTTCTGTCAATAAGCCACATTGAAGTCACTTCTATTAAAGTCCGAAACGTCTTCCAAATTTGGTCAGTGCTAGTTGGTTATGAATAATTAGCCGGGAGATTAGACTTAAACTAAAAACCAATTAGAAATGGCGAAATAGTTTGAATAAATAATAATACTGGTGAAAGAATGAAAGATGGTAATAGTATTGGTGAAAGCTGGTAAATTTTAAGCTCGGTGAAACAAACGTGAAAATGAAATAATCAGCATGTCACGAGCGTGGAACAAAGACAGGATTT